TCATCCATCATTTCATTGGCATAGTTACCATCCTGTCCATGCATCCTCACCCAACCAAGGGGTGTACCCTGTAAGCCTGCATCCCCCCACCCACCACAGTCCTCAGCCCCTTTCCATCTCCTGATCCCGAGTCCCCAGCTACACCATCTCTTGACGTCGTCTTCTCTGCCTCCATCTCAGGCCTCACCGTGTCTCTGGGTAGGATTCTGCTCTTCACTCTTCTCCATCGATGGCCCCAGGGTCCTCCACTCCTAGACTGATAAGTTAATCACTCCCCTCTTTGCTACAAAATGTCCATCTTTAGATTTCCAACCCTCACAATCAGTCCTGATAACAATTATTCACCATTGCAGCACAAGAGACCCATCTATATTTCATTTCATCAGCCCTTCCTGGACAGGCTGGACACTATTCACTGGAGACTCCACCCTCCTCCATGCCCTTTGGATCTAGGTTCCCTCTTGAAAGCTTGTAAGCCAGTCACTTCTTGCCTTTGTATCCCTCCCCCCATTTTGGGTAGTCAATGTCCAAGTTGCCTGTCTACCCTTTGTGTAGAGGGGGTGGGAATAGTTCCCGCAGCAGGGACTTGTTTCCTCTTTTGAGCTACTGCATTTATAGTGTAGGTCATATTTATCGAATTGTATCAGATGATGATTTTCTTATTTTCCGCCTCTTCTTTCTTCCTCGGGTTGAGCTCTATTTATCCAGTCATTGAAGCAGTCAAATGGACAGCATCTACAAGTGTGGGTGTTCTTATGTCTGTCCAGCCTCTTTTTATCGGCTGGCCTCCCCGCTCTCCACTCTGGACCTCTGTTGCTGTGTCATTGACTCTGAGCCCATGAGTCCCCAGATGTTGCCTCACTACTGGCCGACCAGGTCTCCACCGGGGTTCACAGTAGTTTGCTGAATGATGTAGGGCTTAGCTCGCCATTGCATTGATGTTCTTCGGTCACTTCCCCTTCTGGGTAATGTGCGTGGTTGTCAGTCAAAGCATATATTTCCCTTGCGTCTTAGTCTTGCAAGAGAATTTGCACTGAGAGGATCCTACCACTTGCCTTGATGTCTCCTGGGCAAGTCACCTGTATGTTCTTGTGGTAACAGTAGGACTGCCCTTATTGTTTTGTATTTTTCCTGTAGGTCCTTCTTTCAAGAAGCATCTTCTGGTTTTCTAGCTGCTCCTGGCTG